CCCCCCCCCCCCCCCCCCCGTTTTGAATCTAGAACCATGAAACAACACTTGGTCATATTAGTCATGAAGAAAGAGTAACATATTACAACCCGATTACTGATAAAACTTAACCAAGTGTTCTACGTTCCATAAACTATCTATTTCTTTTCCTTTGGGAGTCACTAGCGTGTAAGTACTCGGGCGCATGACCGCTTTGATTACATATGGACCTTCATAGGACTTTGCTAACTTTCCTCCCTTTCATTGTCTGGCTCTTTTCCCTTTTCCTCAAAACATAATCGCCTACCTTGAATGCTTTTGGCTTCACCCTTTTATCAAAGTAGTATTTAACTTGTTTCTTATAATTTTCTGGCCAGATCCGGGCTTCTTCCCTCCTTTCCTCCACGAAGTTCAACTCGATTGCTTGATTTTCCTCATTTCCTTGTGGATCACTCTGTTGTTCTCTCCAAGTATGGAGGACGGCTTCCACTAGTGCCCGGGCTTCAAAGCCATATGCCAACCCAAATGGTGTGTCTCTGGTGGCTCTCCTGGGAGTTGTCCGATATGCCCATAAGATCCTTCGTAGTTCATCTACCCAACTACTGTCTCAGCCTGTAGCTTCTTCTTGATCCCATCTAAAACTATGTGATTTGCATTCTCCTCTTGTCCATTAGCCTGTGGATATGCCACCGAGGCTTTGCCGTGCCGGATCCCCCATGTCTTCAAGAACTAGGTAAATTTCCTGCCTTCGATTAGGGTCCCGTAGTCAGTGACTTTTTGTTCCGGGACACCAAACCTGCATAGTATGTTGGTCCCTATGAATTTCATCATTTGTTGCTCAGTGATTCGGGACAGGGGCTTATCTTCCACCCATTTAGTAAGGTAGTCAATGGCTACGACCACCCATCTGGCCTGTTTCCTACTTTTCGGCAATGCTCCGACCAAGTCTATCCCCCATCTAGCAAGGGGAACCACCATGCTAATAGGACTGTAGTTCGTGGCAGGCCGTCCGGGCATGTTCTGGAATTTTTGACATTTGGGGCACTTGCACACATAATCTTCACAATCTTTCCTCATAGATGGCCAGAAATATCCCTAGATGATGGTCATTCGAGATACCTCTATGGATTTCTTCCATGAGTTCCCGGGCTTCTTCTACTCTCAAGCATCTAAGCAATACTCCATTATGGGAGCGTTTGTACAGGATTTCATCATGTACTATGTAACTCGGTGCCTGCATTCTTTTGAGCTTAGCCTCCTGTGGATCCTCTAAGATCTCCCCGTCTTCAATGAACTTATCCTCTAAGAGCTTAACCTCTTGTGGATCCCCGTCTTCTTGTGGATCCTCTAGGAGCCAAATTTATCCAACCATTCGGGTAGATTCGTAGCTACCTAACTGCCCACCTCCCTTGTCAAACTCGGGCTCTCTATTTCTTCCATAGTGGCCAGCTTGCTGATGTATTGCGGGGACTTTTTGCTTAATCTTGACATTACATCAGCTTTAGTGTTGGATTCTCGAGGGGTGTACTGGAGCTAGTACTCGATGCCCCTCATCATTTCCAAGGCATGATCTCTGTACTTCTTCATCCTTCCTTCCTTGGCCTCGAATTCTACATTGATTTGTCCGACAACAAGTTTTGAATCACAAAACATTTGTACCTTTGTTGTAACGCCCTAGAAACCGGTCTAGAAATTTTAACTTTCTAGTACAAAGAAATGAAAAAAATATATATAAAATTTATATTTAAAAAAAAATATATATAATAAAATAATATGTTACTATTCTTTGGAAAAAAAATCATTCTAATAAAATAAATTTGTTTTCTTGACAAACAAATTTTGTTAAAATGATGCGTGAAAAATATGGAACTTAACGCTATAAGTTTTATATTTTTCCAAGAATTATTTAATAATCAAAACTGTGGAAATCGGACACGTAGTATTAAACCAACGGAGGAAGAAACCTTTTGCTTTCCCCTTGTTGGCCACGCCTAGGATCCTCCTCCCCAACCCATTCATTGCATCTCTCATTTAAGAGAGACTTTATGTTTAAATTTTTTTTTTTTTTAAAAAAAACCATCCACATACCCTATTCTACCTATAAATAGAGGCCTAGGGTGACCACTTTAGGGCACTTGATCTAGAGAGTGTTGGGAGGACAACGAAGCGTGAAAGCGAGGCCTTCCGAAGTTCTGTTCATCTACCTTTCCGTTAACAACATCGAAGGTGTGCCGTTGACCTTAACCTTTAGATATATAATTCATGTTAATATATTTTCGTGCATTCCCTTTTATTTTTATTAACATGAATTTACTCTTTGAGATAATCAATTAAAAGAGGAGGATACTAGTCCTTATAATAATAATAAAAATATACATGTCAAACATAAATTTCACTTGGCTTCCAAAAAAAAAAAGTAATTATACAATTGCACACTTTCGGTAATGGCATAAATGGAGTTTTTATTTTTTATCATTTTTATTATATTTGTTATTAGTATTAGTACCATCATTATATTCTCTATATATAAAAAATATATAACCGAATGTTAAGGAAAAAGAAGTGATAATAAAAAGAAAGTTGATTAGTATGGTGGTTATACAATCGGCAGAGGTTTTATTCTTTATTATCATTGTTATTATCTTTTTAATTATTATTGTTAGTATTATTATTATTGGTACCACTATTATTCTTTCTATAAAAAAAAGTTTTTTACCGAAGGTTAAAAAAAAAATTTGATAATAAAAAAATGATTAGTAGGATGACTTTTCCTTCGGCAGTAGGTTTAAATTAAAAAAAACCGTTTGTTTCTCTAAAAAAAACAAAAGTTTTGTTTTTAAATAGTAAGGGCCGAAGGTTTTATAATGATTAATCATAATCAATGGTTATGATTGATCAACTACAGTCTGGTCGAAGGTTAAAAAAAACAGTTTGGCTTATAAACAAAAAAAACATGAAACTCTATTTCTCATGATAAACTTTTGTCGGTTCCATTTAAATTGTTTTTGTTCCATGTCGTAAGTGACAATAAGTATAAAAAAATTGGTATGTTTGTCTTCTTAAAAATATTGGTATATGTTTGATTAATGAATAGAGTTGTAAATTGTTTTTACGCTTTGAATGTCTAACTGATCAAGTTGCATGATGTTTTAGAAAATGAAAGGGGACATTATTCCATATATAATTTTGAGAGGATCAAGTTATATTTTTGAAGATATCCGAAGTAATTTATCTAAATGACCATATTACCGTTAACCAAACAGTTAGTGGACGAAGTAAAACCGTTAAACTTCTTTTAACGACGTACGCTGACTAGGTCTTGTCACGTTTCATCAAGTGGGTCAAACCACATGTTATAAGGCCGGACCGTGTCCATGTGGATGAGCCTATAAACAATCATACCACAACGTGCGCACGAGAACCCGACGATGACCCCGTGGGTCTAGGGTTCACTTCTGATGACCGGACCCGAGGTCACGGGGAGGTATCCGAAGTAAAACTACGTATCGACTAGTGTGGTGTTCTAGCCTAGTCACGACTTAGTCTCTAATCTGTGGTTAACCTAGTAAGTCAAGTATTCTCTAAACGTCCCCAAGTAACTTTTCAAAGTGAGATTACTTACTCAATAATTTTAATTATGTAAAAAGCTCGTAAAACATAAATAACTTAAAATGCCCTAAAATATATTTACATGTTATATATGTTTATTGGTTATTTGCCACTCAGCTTTGCTGAGCGTGTAGTTTTTTTACTGCACGCAGGTACTAGCAAGGGGAACGACTGCTGAGGAGGATAGCTTAGACGTGGAGGCCGTGCCAAAGGAGTTTTTATTTAATATTTAATAGGGAATAAAACGACGAACTAAATTTTACTTTGTTTTTGGGCTTGAACCCAAGGTTGTATTAACTGTGGATGTTTTACTTTAAATTTACGCGGTAAACGTTTTTTTTTAAAATTCCCTTTAGTTATCAAAAAGAGAATATATTTTTTTTTTGAAGAAAAATATTTTACAAGTAACCCGGTTTTACTAGCACTCTGGTCTGGATGACTCAGGTCATCCAGGGTGGGGTGTTACATTTTTGGTATCAGAGAAAAATTTGGTTTATAAAATGATCTTCTGACCTGACTCTAAAAAAATATGGAGGAATAATAGTTTCTTATGGAAAAAAAATAAGAGAAAGAGAAATTGTTTTTTTTATCATATGTACGGCCACGTCTCTATGCTTCCTCCAAGCAGGTATTCCTTTCTAGAGCTCTTATATGTTATTATTAATGTTGTTGTTGTTGTTATAGAAAATAGAATAAAATAAAATATATTGTTGTATTCAGTTATGGATTAGCACATAGATGGTCTATGGGCGTGACGGAGTCGTGTCAAGCATAGACTCTAGCAAAACCGTCGTTATACCAAACCAGAAGAAGAAGTTTAATTAGAAAGGAGGACCTGGCTCTCGCCGCTCTAATTCACGGCAAGATCGTAGAAATGCACGCAGAGCAAAGAGACGTAGACGCAGAGGTGTCACCAAGGAAGAATGGAGCTCTGTAGGAACTTCGCATAGCATCTGCGAGGGTTTCGCAGAGGAGCCTGCAGTGGACAAGCCATGAAGAACTTTTGAACGTTATTTATTTACACGCGCATTAACTAGTTTCTCTTTTGAGTTCTTATGTTATGAATATGTTCGTGGTCAATAAATCCCTAAATAATGAAAGTCATTTAAAGATTTGTGCCTCGTGCTTGAAAAAAAAAACCCTGAATGAATCAATATTTCATTTATAGAATGGAGAATGACGCGCAGTCAGAGTCAGCAAGTGCTCCTAGCCGGAGCAGTGCTGAAGTTCAACATAGGAACCTAAACATGAATCAGATTGCACAAACTTTGGAGGCAATGAGGCAATATTTCCAAGAGGAGGTGCCAAGAAATCCCAAACCGCCAGCCTGGACGGTTGACAGTTTGAAGAAAAATGGGGTAAAAGAATTTTTAGGGGCAGAGTCCGATGAAGGTGAAAAGGCAGAGTTTTGGTTTGATCGGATCATGCGTGTACATACCGACATGCTGGTTCCAGAAGAGCATCGAGTACGTTTGACCTTAGCCTTACTACAAGATGATGCATACTACTGGTGGAGCAGTGTACGTGGCAAGCCGGATCCTATAACTTGGGAATTCTTCGAGGAGGAATTCAAAACAAAGTATATACCGCCGTGGTATATTGAAGCCCGACGACAAGAATTCATAGACCTGCGACAGGGTTCAATGACCCTTGATGCTTATAACCATATGCACACTAAGCTGAAACGTTACGGGCCGGAATTGGTGGCAACACCAAAACAAGAATGCACTAAGTTCTTGTTAGGAATGAACCCTAAGTTAATGGGTTTGATGGGAACTGCCAACACAGATGATTTCAAAGTCTTGTGGGCCAAGGCCCAAAATGCTCAACTTTTGCTGAATAGGATCGAGAAGGTCAATGAAAAGGAGACATCGACAACTGTGCCATCAGGAGGAGCGAGGTCGGCCCCAACAACAGTTTCACACCCTACAACATTCCCCGCACCATCTGGGTCCAAGAGGAATTTCAGTGGTCCGAATAGCTCTCACTTCCAAAAGAAGGCAAAATCTACTCAGAGTGTAAACCGCTCCCAAGCAGCTAGCAGCGCACCAAGATTTGAACCTGCCCCGACTTGTGCTACCTGTGGAAAGGCGCACCGAGGAGAGTGTTGGCTTGCTAAGGGTTTGTGCTTGGGTTGCGGAAAGGGAGGTCATTTTAAAAAGGATTGCCCTACAAACCCCGGTCGGGTACTCTTCTCAAAGGGAGGAGAAAAACAGCAGTCAGCTCCGAATCGTCCAAAGCCCAAGACAAGCGGGTCTGTCAATCAGAAAGGTGGACAAGCACCAGCTAGGACTTATGCTATGATGGCACGTGAAGACCAAGAAGGTACCGATGTAATTACCATTTTAATTTCATTATGTGGGACTGAGGTCCGAGCATTAATTGATCCTGGATCTACACTCTCGTACCTTTGTGTCAAAATACCTGAGATACCTGATCTTGCGAGGGAGAGGTTAGTTCACCCGGTGATCGTGTCTAACCCACTCGGTCATAGTATGACACTGAGCTATGTTTATCGTCGTTGCCCTTTATTCTCTATGGGAAGACAATTTGATGCAGACCTTATCGAGCTTCCTCATAGGGAATTCGACGTCATATTGGGGATGGATTGGCTAACTGCTCACAAAGCAATCGTAGATTGTGGGTCAAGGACTCTACAACTCAAAGCTGAAGATGAAGAAAGAATCCAGATAACGGGTGACTTGCCACCAAGGGCACCGCAGTTCATATCGTTGATGCAAGCAAAGAGACTGGTTCGAAGGAAATGTGAGGCATATTTGTGCAATGTCCGGGATACCCGAAAAGAGGGGATAGAGTTGAAAGACATTCGGACAGTATGCGACTTTCCGGATGTATTTCCAGAAGAGCTACCAGGGGTACCACCTCCAAGAGAAGTCGAGTTTTCAATTGATTTGTTGCCCGGTACCAGTCCGATATCGATAGCCCCCTATCGAATGGCTCCTACCGAGATGAAGGAATTGAAAGCGCAGTTGCAAGAGCTTCTTGATAAGGGTTTCATCCGGCCAAGTGTCTCACCTTAGGGAGCACCAGTGTTATTTGTGAAGAAGAAGGATGGGTCGATGAGGTTGTGTATCGACTACCGGCAATTGAACAAGTATACGGTGAAGAATAGATACCCGCTACCAAGAATAGATGACTTGTTTGACCAACTTCGGGGAGTATCGGTTTTCTCGAAGATAGACCTCAGGTCAGGGTATCACCAACTACCAGTGAAGAAGGAGGACATTCCAAAAA